TAACTTAATGGATTAATTAAATTGGCACAAGGATTTATAAATGCTGAAGATCAAAGGCCACAGCCTTCCCTACGGGTTGGACTTCAATGTAAAGAAAACAAAAATCCTCACCACTGGACCAACAAATATCATGATAAATGCAGAAAAGATTTAAATTGTCAATGACTTCATTTTGCTTGGATCAACCATCAACACTCATGGAAACAGCAGTCAAGAAATAAAACAACGTATTGTATTGGGCAAATATGCTGCACAAGACTTTTTAAAGTGTTGATGAGTAAAGATGTCTGTTTGAGGACTAAGGTGTGCCTGACCCAAGCCATGGTATTTTCAATAGCCACATATGCATGTGAAAGTTGGATAGTGAATAAGGAAGACAATAGAAGAATTGATGCATTTCAGTTATCGTGTTGGAGGAGAATATTGAAAGTACCATGGACTGCCAAAATAAGAAACAGATCTGTTTTGGACGAAGTACCTCCAGAGTGCTCCTTGGAGGCCAGGACGGCCAGACTTCATCTTTCACACTTCGGACATATTGTCACTGGAGAAGGGTATCATGTTTGATGAAGTGGAGTGTTGGAGAAAAAGAGGAAGAACCCCAACACGATGGACTGGCACAGTTGTAGCGTCAATGGGCTCAAACGTAGCAACCATTGTGAGGCTGGCCCAAGACAGGACAGTGTTTTGCTCTGTTGTGCATACGGGTCACTATGCGTTAGTACTGACTCAATGGCACCTAGTAATAAGGATTTATACACAAAGTCCAGAGAAGTACTATGATAGCAAAAAAAGAGAAACAACCCACACATTAGAAAGATGAGTGCCTGAGAGGGAAGAGCCAGGGATCAGAGAAGCCAGGGATCCTAACCATTAACCTACTGACAACAGATATGTGGCCTAGGCAATGGCATTGAGACAGAGCAGCCCAGGGACTAAAAGCCAATGGACTGAGAAAAGCAGTGTACCTGCAGGCAGGAGGCTGGTTTGCAAATTGTGCCCTTTGGACATTTAAATGCATATGTATTTTTAGTGTGGTATGTGTACATTAAAAAAAAGGGGGGGCTTTGGTTGGCTGATGATGCATGGAGGGGATTGTAACCATGGCAATGAAATGATATACGATAGGATGAATGTAAAGCTAATGTTCTCCCATGTAAACTATCGCATAATTCACAATAAAACATTAAAAAAAAAAGAAAGCAAGCAA